AAAAGGATAAAGGATAAAGCATTTGCCGTTGATCAATCCCTTTTTGGGATGCGGCACGCATTCTACTTCCATTTGTACATTCGTAGTGGCGTTTGAATGCGATGTGGCCTATACAATGACTTGCGGGGGCCAGCCGATGTACAAGTCAGTGTTTTTATCCTCCCAGACAAGTCTGGTACCAATTAACCGACCCCGGAGGGATGGAAGGCTTGGTTGGCCCGGGCGACTCACGACCCAGGATTTGATCCCCGGACCGCTCGCGTGGTAAGCGTGCCACTTGCCACTACACCACTTCCGCCCATTTACTGCCGTGCCGGAGGTGACAGGAGTAAATGTGTTTTGAAAAAGCCAAATTTTCTGTTTTTCACCATTTTTATGCTTTCTTCCTGAAGCTCCCGCTAAACTGTCCTCACCCGTCAGACACAATCGCTCTCCCACTACCATGATCCCATCAGATTCCACAAGTACGACCCCCTTTTCAGCCATCCATCCCTTATGAGACTTGAAGGATGTGTTGGGGATTCAGAATATTAATTATTTTCAGAAACTCCGATCGTAAGGACAAAAGCATGTACACTCACCTGATCCTCCAGTTCAAGATCGCGCATTGCATCAGCAATCTGACCACTGATGTCGCTGCCGCTCGCATTCACTGCATCACCCATTGCCATCGAGACTTCACTTGCCCACGACCCGCACTCGATACGCGTAGCTTCACTATTTGCACAGCTACTACCAGCACCTACAACGACAAGAGATTTAGAAGGAAAAGAGCATTTAAATGCAATAGCACACTTTTCTGAACGATCTGCCCAAAGAAAAACAGCTATATGCTCGCGCGCCATCGAATTGCAATGGGGCAGTCCACAGTCGCGAATGCGCTAGCGTCTGTGTCTCGCGCTCTCCCTATGCTCCCTCGCTTCTGCGCCCGATCCCTCGCCTCGGCGCCCAGTGTCTCTTCATTATCAGATTCCTCCACCGCCCCAAAACACCTTATCTTGCAAGTTGGTTTCTTCGCTTTTTTTCCACTAATACCACCTCTCATAGCACCTAATGTCCCACTTTCAGCGCAGTAAGCTTACCACGGCAACCATGGAATGCGCCTTTAAGGCAGGTGCCAGACTTTGTGATCAATCGCTAGCCACTCGGATAATAAGAGCGATGCACCTGCGCGGTTTAGCAGTTGAAGTCTGACACGTACTCAAACACAAGGAGGCTACCTAGAAACAACTAACCTCCTATCACCACAGGAATCGATTTTATGGACGACAAAGAGTGCCTTGACTCTGAAGGCGTCATCTGGAACACATTAAATCATAAAATCGTATATGACAAAATCCTAAAAATTTTTCACTAACCAATTCAGCACTGGTGTTCTCCTCACGGTACTCGAAGAACTTGAATTGAGGACCCATCCATAACCGTCGATGCGGGCCCGAATAGGTGCAGACCTGTAAAGATCATAGAAATTGTTCGAGAACCGAATTTAATTAATCTTTTTGTTGTTTCTAAGGCGCTAAATATCTTTGGTCGGACTCAGCTCAGCACAAGAAGTGCACAGTTTCGCAAAGTCAAAAGGAACATAATGGAGTAGGAGTCTGATGATTAGTTCCACGAAGGTCTCCAAGAAGCCAAACAAGGTTCCCATCTCTATCATACCTTGATCATGATCGAAACGACCCTAAGAGCTAAACTGTGAGTGCGCTTGCTGGCATTCCACCAAACAAAAACGGTAAGGCGATAGACATGAACGATAACGAAGGAGAACTGCGACCCTTGTCATATTTTGGAAAATTGCATTCGGCACCAATTTAGTTGGTAAAATCATTATTGGAGAAAAAAATTGGCAGCGGTCTGAGATGGATCTCGTCGATGCATTCTCATCTGTCGAACCTAAATATTTTTCCGCTATGTTACCCATCACCCTATGAAGGTACCGAGGAAAGTCTTTCAGAACGTTGAGCGCTTTTCGGAACGGTGTTTTGTATACATAACAGGGCGTGGAGCATAAGCATAGGACCATTTTTGTTAAGCGGTTTTGCAATTTCGCGAAAAGTGAGAAGATTTCCCATAAAAAAGGACGTTCCTATCAAATTTGGCCATATCAAAATGGTTTTTTTTGTTTTACTGAAACTCGTGTATACTCAACGCAGAATGGAATTTAGACAAATGCAAAAACTTGTCTTCAGTGAGGACCGAACCACAAACCACTGCCATTATTTTTAGCACTTCCAGAGCCGCTCAAAAGAAACAGACCTACTTTCTAGTTTCCATGCAAGTGCTTTTAATATACAGAAACCGTTCACAAAAAGTTTCAACGCTTGGGTAACTTCTAATAGAATCCGTCATTTAGAGACTTTCATCTAGCAACTACCCACCTACTGATATAGAAGTATTCCGGAAAGTCGATTTATCAAAGAAAAAAGTTTTTTTTTTGAGAATAGCCATAAAAACAGAATGCCGTCGACCGATCGTATCGTCTGTTGATGTAGAGTAATGTAAAAGTTAAAGCATAATTTCTCTGTGCTGAATCTAGATTGGAACTTAAGATATGACAGTAGTGTGGGAAGCGTGCCGCCTTCACGGTACAAAAACATGACAAGAGCGCTAGCCTTGTTACTGAAGCCAAAAAGAGCCTAGACTGTTGACTGAAATGCAGCCTAATCTCCACGCCGCGTAGTCTAGGTCTCCGCTGTACACTCTGCCTATTACGCCTGTTTTCTTGCTTCGACTCAGTGCCCTCTTCGTCACCCTACAAATCCCAGGGAAATTTGCATTTTTAACGTTTCTGACGGTTTCTTTTTCTCCACTAGCGGTGCACTACTGCTTTCATTTTCAAGCGCAATAACCAATCCAAATGACTGCGGCATACGCGTTCAAAATACGAAACACAATTCACCTCTACTTGCGGTATCCAAGTGTCAGTCTCACGAGATACTCGAGAACGCGTTTTGTCAGGCAGTAGCCATGTCAGCAGTGGACTACCTTGCTGCAACGGTGGTGGCATATCCGGATTGTTCTTCGTCCTGAAAAATTAAGAAGCATTTATAAAGAACAGCAATATTCATAAAGATACTCCATATTCTCGCTCTTGCAAGGTTGATACTCGAGCTTTCCCATAACATAGTGAATTTATAGCTATTGCATAAGGTTAGGTTGACTGATTAATATATGAATAAGTATTGCATCAGGTTTCATTTATTTTTGCCCTTCCCTCCCCCCCCCCTCCCAGCGCTGCATTTTACGACGAAGTAAGACGTCATTCTGAACAGCTTACGTTTAATCCACCGCTGATGACTACGACGTGGTTGTCATGGAGTATAGTGCAACGGCACAAACAACACTGTGATATATCACTTCACTAACCTTCATTTTGATAGAACGTCCAGAGGACTCTGATATCGACTAACAACCAGCAATCTGTACAATCTAACACCTCAGTCTTACAAAAACCATTATTTTTCGCTTTTATTCAAATGGATAATCACTGCTTAGCCCTGCTTTCTTTTAAACGTCTTGCACTTTTGGATCAGAATTCGCGTACATGGGATAAGCACTCTAGGGCAGATAATAAGTACAGACTTCTCATGAAATCACGAAAAAGGCGATTCTATGAATTTCGAGCCCAAACTCGGTAACCGCAACTACCCAGCAACACGGAACCTTTTTTCTCGAATGGGAACATTAATGCGCATTGGCTTCACGTCGGCATATGAAAAATGACGTGCTTGGCGTTGAGTGATCGCTTCTTCGCCAAGATTCATTCTAGCCTGAAAATCAAAGAAAGGTTGGATTTGCATCTTGGCTTATGAGTCGGGGGCCCACAACCTTTAGGGCACTATTTTTCTGCCCGAGCAGGTCCGGAGCCAAACATCAAGCGCGAGAGATGAAAAGTCTTATTGGTTTGTCCCGATCCAAGAGAACC